TAAATGTTATGAAAGAGTAAAGTAGAATCAAAATGAGTATCAAGATATAATAAAAATCAAAATAAGTTAGAATGTTAAAAAAATTGTGGAGTTATACCAATTTGATGTGTTGCTCCACGTTTAGTTTTGCTTGTTACAATTTCTGTACAAATGTTGCCGAAATCAGTATATCTTGTGCTACTTCGCTTCAAATCTGCATCCGGGGATGGGATAATTCACTTTATCGGTAAATTCAGCACTAGCACTTCTACGAAACGCGTATCATATATAGAAATGTGTACATTTTCAACGTATAACTCTTTTGACAGTTTTGACTTTTGCGTGACAACAGTAGAGCAAAACAAATGTTTCCACACGAAGAAAGTTATTTCACAAATTGCTAAATCATTGTATAGCATTGTAATCAGATACTTGTCAATTATTCTAAATGTGATTTCAAGTGCTCCCCAAGATTAAATGTGCGCTGTCGTTCTCGTTCCCGCTTCGTAGCAGCGTGCGGGAACGCGAGCAGATTCGTACTTGGGAGCATATTAGTCATGTCACAATACTCCTCACACTAGCACAACGCCTGTGAAACAAGGTCTTTAATAAATACTACTGCCAATCTTCTGAATTGCCTAGCCACTTTTTACATTTATCATACTTGTCTAGCTGCAATTTCTTTTTTATTATTTGTAAGGTTTATTTTTTGAGAAGTTGAATGAGAAGTTTTCATTCTCTAGAAAAAACGGCAGTTAGGAAGTCTCAAAATAAAATCTATTGTAAAGTAACTTCATGAAATTGACGTAACCAAATCTTTGTTTCGCAAGGTATAGTTTTTTGTAGAAAGGTGCACGTGCGTTGATTTCTTGCTTTGCGTTACTTTGTTGTACAACATATTAGATTTTATATTGATATTTAAACATCTTTAGATGCGGATAAAAATTGAAGATTAATCCAGAAAATGATTGATTAGTTAAATCTATTATTCCAGTCAGAAAATGCTGATGGGTTACCAGGAAAAGAGCCATAAACGATTTGTGTTTTTTTATGTCCCAGGCACATATTAAAGATTCCAGGTTTTCGTCCTCGACCTCAGAGACCCTCTCCTCTGGTAGGCCCTACAAAAAGGAAAACTTTTTCTTTTTTCGTTTTTCTCTAACACTTTAATCTTTAATCGTGTAGAAAATCATTCGAACCACTTTTGAAGATAATTTTTTTGCGACTTTCGTAAACTTCGAAGAAAGCTATACAGCTTTTTAAAAAGTTACTTTCTCATTTCTCAAACAACTGTTAAAAACATAACCTTATGTTATATGAAACTCGTAATAACGTTATTTATGCATGTAGCACTAATATATATATATATATATTATATTAATATATATATATATAATATATATTATATCTATTATATATCATCATATATATATATATATATATACATATATATATATATATATATATTATATATGGAATAGTGTTAGTGTTCCAGATCCAGCCTGTACTCTTTAACGCGGGGCCAACTGATAAAAATGTATAAAATATTACGTGGAAATATTGGTGTGGGGGTTAAGACATCCCTCGAAGTTAAGTGACATTTACAAACGAAATTAGGCAACCTAAGATGCAAAAATGGCATTTATTGTGTTCTGAGCTGGTACAGTGAGTGAGACTGACAGGGCTGTTTAATTGACCTTTGTGATAAATAAATACCCTTAATTTTAATTGAGATAAAATTCCAACTTCTGTACGAAACTTCTTAACGTAGCATTAAACTTGCTAGTCAGGAAAAGGAAACTAAATAGTGATACTTTCTCGACTAGTATGCGTTGGTGGGGCCTTTTTACTGGGGGGAGGCGCTCCTTGTCCTGCGTGTTCTTTCATTTGCAGCATTACAGTTTTTAGCTCGTTAGTTTTACTGCTGCTTTAGCATTGGTAGTTGCTCTGTGTTGGTGTCGTACTTGGTCGCGAAGTGTTATGCTACAATATAACCTTAGAGGGAAGTGTTTCAAATGCCAAAAGAAATTTGCAGGAGGTGGGATTGTTGGGAAAAAGTTTCCAGGTTTTAAAATCTTTAAGAAAATAAATTCCCGATAAACAGTTACTATAGTGTTTTAATCAATTCCCTGTTTAGTGCTTGTTAGAAAAGTTTAGAGTAAATAAGGCAATATCCTGCTACTAAGTCTGCTAGTGATTCATTATAGGTGAAATTGTGCCTTGACTGATTATCATAACAGCACTAGTTTATCAAGACCTTTTTGGGGAAAGTAAAGAGGCGAATATTCCGCAGCGTAATGTGTGAAATATTCATTGTAATCGGACAAAAGCTACAGCAAAACATATTGCTGAAGCAGGTGAAATGTTTACTGGTACGGTAAAGAGATGAATATGCAGTCCATCTCTGCTACAGAGTACTTTCAAAGTCGGTGAGCGAAGTGGTATAGCGTAAGTTTCACCGGGTCAGAAATCCACCCTCACGTTGTGCAACCCGCCAACATGTATTTCGTACCTAAAATAAAGTAAGGTTTGGAAGATGAGGTAATAATTGCGGCTGGACGTGTAGCTCAAAAGTGCTCGATTAAAATATGAAATGCACCTTACCCTTACTCTTTATATTCAAAAGTGCGGAGACTTGTAGCTGTAGAAAATCAGGACTGACGACACTGGAAATATCATTACGTTCATAGAGTACAATTCTCTCAAGGCAGCGGCGTAGACACAATTTTCGTATGGTTGTAGAAAGTAATGAATTTGTGGCATATGAAGCAGAAAGATGTGTATTTTTTACCGTAACATACTACCCTTATCCCAGCTGCCTCTTGTTGGCTAATGTGAAATCCATTCGGCCAAAATCGGAAGTGCACTTTGAAAAGTTTCCTAGTGCGGATTCTATCGACCAGTTTTCCATAACGAAAATCTTAACTACCTTGTTCTGAAATAAGCGAGAATGGCACTTCATACGCGTCGCTCAGAGTAAGCAAAATTCTCCCTTTACTTAGGCCTATATTTGACTTTTGTGACTAACATATTATCCGGCATAGCACAATAGTCTATCATGAAGCCCTACCAGTTTCTCCGAACGTACCTGCTCAGTGCGAAGTTTACATTGTCAGCTAGTTAAATATTAGATTTAGTAATGTTCATTATAAATTGATTATAATATAAACATCGGTATATTTTGGACATATTTTGGGGAAACTAAATGTATTATACAATATTTTATCTCATTTTAAAATTAATTTGATGTTTCAACTAGACTTCGGTTAGTGATTAAAAGGAAACGAAGAAATTAGGAAAAGACGGATATGTAACAGCGTGTTTGGGGCCTCTTGGAGTTGGTAGTCTTGGCGGTCGAAAACTTGGATTTAATTTGTGCCTGGGTTTGTATTACATATCCAAAGATTTTTTTTTATTTTGTACTTGCACATTATTGGATATGGAACTCAATATACACAGCATAACGTTCCTGGATCGAGAGGACAGATGTTACGAGGGAAATATGTAAACGGCTGATGTTCTTACAGAGGGAGAGGGAATTATAGGAAGGAAATATGAAAAGAGTAATGTTATCTAGTTTATTAGTAAAGAAGTTGATATTAATCATTAAAATTACATTTAAAAAATACTTACCACTGGGATTAACTGGATCTAATGATCGAGCGGCGACAAACAAATCCATGGGCCTTGGCCCGAGGCCCATTGACTCTGGCCCAAGACCCTTGGGCTTTTTGTCGCAGTTCGATTATAACCCTTATAACGCCTTTGCTGCATAAGTAACAATTGTTTGAACGTTATGCTAGATATATTGGCTTCGAGCAGGGGCGAATCCAGAATGTATTTGGGGGAAGGTGGAAGCAATTTCAGTTTAGACTCCCCTTAAATAATCGGAAGTCGAGCATATTTCTAAGGTGACGTTCTCCCCTTCCCCCCAAAAAATTGAGGAAGGAAAATATTAATATGAATACCTAGGATTCCAGATTGAACGGTTGCGAATACAGTTTAACGAAGGACAATCGCATTTTTTGAACACAAATATTTGGTGAAGAGTCTTAAGAATACGTAAAACTAGAAAACAAACGGAAATGGTGATACGTAACATCGGAAATAAACTCAATTAAAAACAAACTTGGTCTGAAATAGTGTTCATAATGGGGATTACTTTTGAAATGTGATGCGTCCAATATTTGGTGCTTTTTAACAAATGGAGTAAAATTACAACCAAACATCCCAAAAGATATTGGGTTGTGGTCCCCCTCCCAAGTATCCACCGTTGATTTCGAAAGTCCGTTGTTAAATAGTTGCAGCAGTTTATATATAATCAGTTTGTTAAATAGTTGTGAAAAGACCAGAAGAAAAGATTAGACGGAAAAAAAATCCGGAGCTGCACTCGAGCGGATTCGTGAAGTGAATTGCAATTGGCAGGTGTTAAACGGGCTTTGGGCATTCCAGTTGGAGCACAGTCCCTGGACTTATCTGTTTTCATGCTAAATGTCGTCACAATGCGCTGCAGGTGTGGGTTTCGTGTTGCCGTCGTTACCGCCGGTAGTTTGCGTGAACGCAGTGGCATTATAGCGACTTGAACACTCCCCAGTAAGGGTCCGAAAATAGTACCAGTTTCCTCTGTTTGGTATGAGGCCAAAATTCTTTCTGGACGAACGAGGACTCCAGACTAAGCTCTCGCATTATGAACACGTGAAGTCTACGCAAATTTTAATGGAAATAAACTAAAACACCACCCGTTTAAAGCTACTGAACCAATTAGTTTTGGATTCCAAACAGTAAATCTATGTAGTGATGTCTTTTCTGTAATTCGGAAAAAATATTTGTTTTGTCGGCTACTTAAATCTTGTTAAACATGAAGAATATTAGTTCTGGGCAATGAATATACATTATGCATTTTACCTGCTGTTATTAACATTTAGCACAGCTTCTATTTAATTTTTTTAATATTGAAAATTCACTTGAGACATTTATTGTTTTTGATGAAGGTTTCAACAAATTTTTCTCTTTTTTCACAGTGGAGAGCCTTGTCTACTGGAGGAACCCTAAGGTTTCTGGAGCAGTGCTGGGTGTTGGACTGGCATTACTTTTGTCGCTCACATACTGCTCACTGATTTCTGTGATTGCATACGTCAGTTTGGCAGTCTTAGTGGGATGTGGTGGTTTCCGCTTGTACCGGGCAGTGTTGGCTGCAGTGAACAAGACTGGAGAGGGTCATCCATTCAGGTAAATTTTCAAACCTTTTAAACATTTTATTTCCCCCCCCCCCTCCATGTATGGTTATTCACAAATATTTCTGACCTTTAGTTAATGTAGTCATACATTATTAATACAGTAGTAAATTAGCATAATTGAAATAATGGATGTAATCCTTGGAATGGTAGCTTCTGTAAATGATGACTTATTACGCTGAATTAAACTGAAGAAGAGTTTAATTTGAGTTAAATTCTAGTGTTCAAAATGAGAAATAATTGTTTTTGATATTTATTCTGTACACTGTACACAGGAAACAATTTTACTTGACATAGCTTAAAACTTAAACATTATATGGGGTGAAAGTGTAAGGTTTGAGTGTTTAATATTTTATAAAACTTAAATGATTATGAACAAATTTATACTGGAATTTAAGTAGTTCACACTAAGATGTGAATTATAAATTGTTTTTTCTGTTTTACCAAAAGGTGCACAAGGTACTTTCCTAACTCAAGTAGACAAAACTAGCGATTTTAGTGGGAACAAAAAATGATTTTTCAAATACTTCTACTTTAAATTGTGAATTGTTAGGAGCCTTGCTGTTCTGGCATAGGAATTGGTAATGAGGTACATTTTATGTAAGAGAATAATTTCTAGAATTCATTAATAGTTTTCAAAGAATCATTTAGTTATTTCATAAATGGAGTGTGTTGTCTCTGGAACCTGTATACTGGGAATGCTAATTTTAATATGAACTATATTTAACAAAATGCTTCAATTGCTATCCTATTACTGATTTCATTTGTACTGCTTCGTTACCTGTGATTTTATTAATATTGTCACTTTTTGTAATTTTAAAAAGAGGTTTCATTCTGTTCAAGTAACAATGTAGATCATTTCATTTTTTCCATTGAAAAATTTTTAATTGATGGGCAATATTTTTGTGATGTCAATATATATTTTTGTGTATTGATTTGCTTTTGTTTAAGCTTAATAGTATTGTGAATACTACGAATTTCAGAAATTCTTCAAAAGAATATTGCAGGTAATTAAACTCAGGAAAGCAGCCAAACAAATTCAACTTTCAACATGTAACATATCTCATTTCATTTGTGCTCCCATCCCTCATTGCAACATTGGACATTTAACATTTCTATGCCAAAGTGTTATATTTTCGCAACATTGTGTATTAATGACAATTTCAGCAACGCAAACAAGCAGCATGGTTTCCTTTTTTTTATTGATGAACATTCCTTGAATATTAAAAAATGTAATGGTATAATAATTAACCCTTTAAAACAGTGCAATAAGCATTGAATGTTTCAAGAAGTGAAATGCCCTTTACGTTGTTGAGGATGTATGGTCCACCTGAAGTGAAGTCTTTCTTTTATCACCTTTGTAAACTTTATGCTTTTATATAATACTCTAAACATACTTTAGTGTTGTTACAAGTTTATATGTTATTCTTTCACTGAATTGTATACATGGCTTTCTATATTTGTGGACATAATTTCCATGGAATTGATCTTTTTAGGTGTTCCAAAAACTGAATCTGAAGTAGGCTGGTAGCTGGTCTTCTTAGACCCTCGAGATATTCGTAGTGATGCATATCAGTTGTTGAGGGATGAAAATGGAGGAGCAGCATTGAATAAATTTTAATTCCCATTGACATATTTCAGAATTGCTGGTGATATAAACATGATTTATTGAGAGTTCATGTTGCTATTCATGTTTCAACTATAAGGAATGTTCAGTTAGGAGTCTGTGGGAACTAAAACGTAAAAAAAAAGCTTTATAGATGGTAATAGCTCCAATTAAACTCATTTTACTAAGTTCTACTGCCCTTCTCAGTTCCTACTCCTACTGCCCTTCTCAGTTCCTACTCCTACTGCCCTTCTCAGTTCCTACTCCTACTGCCCTTTTCAGTTCCTACTCCTACTGCCCTTTTCAGTTCCTACTCCTACTGCCCTTCTCACTTAAGTTGCATCATTCAGTAGAATAAGAAGTTAATGCATCTCTCAGCCACATTTGTTGAAAATGTAAAATTTGAATGTGGGGAGGATGGATGGAATGGATTGGAATGAATAAGCTTAGATCCAATATATGGTTAAAGAAATGGCTCAGTTTTCTAGGTCATCTTTTATAGTTCTCATTTGCTCTTTCTATGGAGAAGAACAGCAAAGAGCCAGTTATTTCCAAAAAGAAAACATGGCCATCTAAAAACAACTATATCATACAAGTCTCTGTTCTTGGTTTAACAAAGTTGACCAGTCAATTTCTTCACTGAAGAAAACTAGGTGAAGAACAATATGTGAATAAACAGCAGTGAAAACTTGTAACACATCAGTTGCTTCAATGTCACCTATAGTAGAATATCATAAATGCTTAGTGTTGTTTTTTTTTGTAACATGTTAGTGCAACATACATTTCAAGTTTGCTGCTGTGATAAAGTACTAATTGTTTTGAATAAATTCAGTGAGGGAGGAAGAATCTTCTTTCAATCATTTTTTGTAATTTTGCTAATTTTATTCAAAACAATTAGTACTTGAGTGATGCACCAATTTTGAAGTGAATATTTAAATTGTGAAAACATGTTGCAAAAGTTGTAGCTAATAATTTTTAAACTTTTAAAAAAAGGTGATGCTTTCAACACTTCTTCAGTATCACCTGTTTCCATGTTAAATAGTGATTGAAAATAATTCAAGTAAATTTGCAAATTACATGGGCTGCATAAAATTAAGAATGGTGAAACTGAAATTCTCGTATTAAATGGTTATGAAATGCCAGAAATAGTGCAAATATTTTATTTACTTTATTTGAGAATTATTTACTGGTCACACATTTTCATAGTTTCTTCTTTCTTATCTGTCTGTAATATTTAACTGCATTACATTTCTCTGTTCAAATGGAGATTCTAGATCTCCTATGGTAGACAACTTAGCCTGTAGAACTTCAAAAACAAGGTACCTGCATTTCATAAAATGTTAGGTGTAACATGTTGCGAAACTAAATTATTCTGGTATATTAATATATTTTTTTTCTTTTCTATTTTTTATATTGCCTACATTCTCAGTAGTAATTGCAAGTCAGACTTAAGTAATTTGAAAGTGTAAAGATCAATAAAATTAAAGATGGTGATAATATTAACAGAATTATTATTATTATTATTATTATTATTATTATTATTATTATTATTATTATTATTATTATTTCGAAAGATCCTTGACAATTGTACTTGGTCTTTGGTCTTTAGTGAGACATTGAATAAATTTTTTCTGATTCAGGTTTGAATTCAGAACTGAATTCATAGACTATTCTAATAATGCATAGTGTAACTTCAGTGCACCATGTATGTTGCCACCATGTTGTTCCATTGTATTACTACCAGTAATACATCAGTAACTCCAATTGCAATAACTATATTCTTTGATATTTTTTACTTCAGACTTCTCCATCATACTCAACTTTCTTTGGTTATTTGAATCTTGTGTAAACAAATGGATAATGTTTTCTTTTTCCCTTAATTTTGGGATACTTTGGTTCTGTTGTATTAAAAATTCTCTTTAATAGGAGACAACTTTGCGAGAGTGTCTGAAAATGTCTTGTTTTCGTTTTTTTTTTTGTTGCAGAGATCTCCTTGACAAAGATATTGCTGTGTCTTCAGATAGAGCTGCCAGCCTGGCTCAGCAGATTGTCCCACACATCAATGCCAGTGTGTCAGAATTGAGACGCCTGTTTCTTGTTGAAGATATCTTGGACAGCTTCAAGTTTGGTGTAATGGTATGGGCTCTGACATATGTGGGTGCTATCTTTAATGGACTAACACTGGTCATACTTGGTAAGATTCTTTTTTGTGTGTTTCAAGTATTTTAAAGATTTAATGTGAAGTTTTTAGATGATAAAGGGGAATGAAATGAATTTCTTTAAGATATTCACTTTAGTGATCACTCGTAGGTAGAAGTCTTTTAAAAGTAAAGTTGTGAAAATTCTTCATGAAAACCTTTTCTGAAATAATTTTAATAATTAAACTGGATAAATTTCAATTGATATTAGAATTTATTAATGTCCCCTATTTATTAGCATAAGGTTTTGATAGAATTTCAAAAACTTGTGTGAAGTATTGTGTTTAAGAAAGTAGAAATCTATTTTATTCTGTGTAATAGTTCTTTTGATTTTAATTAATTAAATCTCAAAAAAATGCATAACCTAGGTTTTTGGGCATCGGTTATGTTGGATACAATAGAAATGTTGATAATCATTGTAGTTAAAATGAGAATTCTATAATGTTAGCAGAAATGTGAAATGCCTTTGTTAACATGTGGTCAACTATTTTTGTTTTAGTGCTTTCCATATTTTTACAATTGGTTAAAATACTATGGAATGTTTATTTTTGTGATCTTTATTCTTTCTAGTATGAGGCATAACACTCTCAAAAAATCCTTGTTGTGTTCTAGCATTTGTATCAGCCTTCACACTGCCAAGGCTTTACGAAAATAACAAGCAGCAGATTGATAAGAATCTGGAACTTGCTCGAGCTAAGTTTGCTGAAATTAATGCCAAGTAAGTATATATTTACATTTCATTACCTCAATTTCATTTTACAAACTAGTATTCTGTGTGAACAAATTTATTGTAGTTTTATTGTGATTAAAATAATTTTGGACATATTTACTGGACAGAACAGAAAAAATTGCTAACTCTAAACAAGTGTTTTTTTTTCAATTCTTATCCTTGACTTTGCTTTACCTTTTGGAAAGATGATATAAGTGGTTATACTTTACTGCCTTCGGAAATTTGTATTGCTTTCGAAATGTGGTTTGCTTCAGAATATCATATAAATTGTATTTGATTCAAATGTTGAGAGGCAAGTAGATTGATTTATGATTTTAATGCATTATTTCAAAATTCTGAAAATTGTTATTGTTGCGCAGGGTGCAGGCATTCAACCCCTTGTCAGGGGCTGCGGCAAAGAAGCTTGCTGGATCCGCTGCTGGATCTGAAGACAAAAAGGAGAATTAGAAGTCATCCTGAATCCACACATTGATATATCCTGTTTAACTTAAATAAACCCCCTCCTGTTCACTTGGATGTTCTGTTTTATTTACCCCATGATCATATTTTGTTTCTGTTAATAATTAAAGTGTAAATAAATTACTTGAAATTCTTGTACATTATTCTAATGAACATTCATGAAATTATAAGTATTTTCAACCCTAATCTAAGAAAATAATTTAAAAGTGTGTATGTATGTATAACTTCTATCAGTTCTCAGAAAATGCACAAGAATTTGAAGATCACTCTCATACGTGTTACTTCATGTCTGGGTCTTTTAAAATCACAAGCTGTAAAGTTGCATATATGAATTAAATCAGAACTCTTAATTCAAAAAAATTGCATCATGTGAAGTGAGAGTCGCTTATGAATGACCTCATTGATATAGAAAACTGAAATGGGGATGGGGATCTTTTGCATCTAGCGCAGTACTATATTTTTTAATTCTTCTCAACTAGAATGGACTTGTGTGGTTGAGTATGAAACTTTTCCAAGGAAACACCCTTACTAGAATAAAGTTTGCATGCATGAAAGGGACTGGAGTGCAAGATGAACGTTTGAATGTTTTGGCCATGGGCAAAACGAGATTGAGTTTAACGCGCCCAATGGGAAGTGGGATTTTTTTAGAAGTGTAAGCATAATGTAATAAATGCTATATTGAGCTCTGGAAGAAGCTACCCATGTGTTTTTTAAGTGTAGACCTTGTTAAAGTTGTAGTATGCTGATATTTGTTTGCGGTAGATTTTTACAGAAGCGGCTTTAGGTTTACATTAATGTATTTTAAGAAAAGAACTGAAGTGGTATAAATCATATATTGCTTTATTTAGTATTTTATTTAATTGTGCAAGTTCTACTGGTTGTGAAACAATCTTTGCTTGTTGGCAAGCTTCTCAGTGGTATGAGGTGTTGAAGTACTGAGCTCTAGTCTGCTAGTCTTAATATTTACTCACCATTATGGAGCTTTGCTTGGGGTCCTCAAAACCTAAAGCCGTTACTGACATACTCTTAAGAATACCTATTTATTAAAACCTCTTGCTCGCAGTCAGGTGTTTCCCTGCAAGTGTATGTTTGGCATTTCAAGTATTCAATACTCGTGCATTCTTAACACTTACCATGCAATAATTTGTAAATTTTAAATTAGTGCAGTGTTCTGAACTAATTTGTTGGAAGAAATATAGTAAATTTTGGGGTTATGTTCAGTGAACAAAGACTGAAATATTTGGTCTTGCAAATGGAAGCAATTTTATCTAATATCTGTTGTGTGGACCAGCAAACATTATGCGCTTATGCGGGGCACAGTTGGATGTAAAGCTTATTGAATTTGCTTACATTTACATTGAAATTAAAGAATAAATACCTCAGAGAAAGATCTGATTGATAAAACATGGGAAGATTCTAGTGCATTAAGGAAAAATAAGTTGAAAATTCTGATCTCAAGTCTTGAGTGCCCGGCTGGTGCAAGTGGCAAGTTTGCCAAGAGACTGCGAGTTGATGGTACGTTGCTAAATTTTGTGGAGAACTCTGTTGCTATAATTGTTTCATTACTGCTTTGCTTATTGCTATATGGTTCAATGTTGAAAAAATTGTTAAGTATTTTGAAATACTGAGAAGCTATTTGTCCGAATGTTTTTCTGCTTGGATTTACCATCTCAACGTAAATGGGTGGTTTGAACAGGCACACTTATATGTTGCACACATACTAAATAGTTTACATAAATATTTAGCCTAAGATCTGTGGGAGAAACATAAAAAGGGTATGGTATACACTATAATTCACATCATTTTTACCAAGGTAAATATCTATGGAATTCAAATTAATTAATAGAATAGGTTTTTATTGACAAAAGTACACAACGTGCAATGGGTAAGAATGGTCAGTGTTAAAAGAGTTATTGAAATTCCTGCGATGTTTTCCTATGTCAATTTCTGGCAGTATAGCTGATGTTAAGTTGTATTTAAAAAAAAAGTGCTTTGTACACAAAATAATAAAGAAATTTGGAATGTGACTGTTAGTTTTAATATTTGTTATCTGGTACATTGAATATTGTGAAGGTCAACATTCATGCCAAGAAGTTGTTAATTGTTCCTGGATCTTGTATTTGAAATGTAGGTATTGATGGCAGCTCACAATGTCCTTAAAAACAAAAATGACTGTTTTTTTGTTGTTTTGTTTATTATTATTATTAGTCCAGTATTTGTACGATATTTGGAAATTATTTTCATTGCTGAATTTTTCTTTTAAATTTCTTTTCACATTTTTACCTTTCTGAGCTCATGGTAATAGTCCACTTTAGCAGTTCATTGGATTTTACTGCATTCTGGAAACATTAAAAAATTAGAGGTAACCCATGAAAATAAAGTATAAACTCCTTTATTAATTCATTACAAATAGAATGATTTAATTTTAATACTAAATTCAAGATTTTTTTTCGAAACTTCCTTTATTATCACTAATAGGTTCTCAAACAGCAGTCACATATGGTACTGCAAAGCAAGTTTAGGAAAAACCTGATGGGGATGGCAGGTGAAATTTTGAGCCATTTGCAATGTTTTCCACATCCCATGAAGGAACTGAATTTAGGCCCTCTGTTATTATAGTCATTTTGACACTTTGCATTCTTGAAATCTTAACAGCATGTGTATTGAAGATTAGGTAAAGTATGTTGCCATAAATTGCACATAGTCCACCTATAAAGGAATCTTTCATTCCTCTGCCACGGGAGCAGGGAGCTTTGTCTTATCTCTTCAGGGTTTTCCTCTCCTGACAGTCATATTTTTGTTATATTCTTTCTTCATTTATTTGTTTTTACAAAATAATTCTGTACTATGACATTTTCTTCTTAATAAATCTATTTTGGGTTTATTTTAATAAGTGATAGTGAAATAGTTGAACCTGACAATGCCTCTACAATTCAGCTCCTGTATCTTTTTCCTGTTCACAAATATTGTACATCCCTAGCTCACATTGTGGCCTGGGATATTTAATCCCTCTGCATCTGCAGATCTCGTATTCCACATGCAGTTCTCGTGTTCACCTGCTTCCACAAACTTGCAAGAGCGATTGCTGCCCTTTCTCCCACTCAAACTGCGAAACCAAATTGCATGCCGTGAAAAGTACCAAATTGTACTTCTTGATGTCCGTCCAATACCTTCGCATTTTATAGTGCCCTAATTGTTTTTTTAATTTTTTTCCTGCTAATGGAGACGTTCTATCCTAAAATTCATTTTTGACAACACATCCCTAAATCATAAGTTGTAGAAGTAATAATTATAAATAAAAAAAGATTATCTTGCTTCAGTTGTTCAAACTGTATGATGCAATCTTGAGGATGCTTGGAATTGTTACAGATATTCATTCTGGAAATGTTTAAAATGTTGAATTTGAAATTCTTTTTAATGAATCCACTGCTAGAAAGAAAATTACGTGTTAATCTATGATAGTTCTTTCTTTCAATCTTCAATTCAGCTTTGCAATATTTTGTTTGGTTGTAAAGGATCAGTAGTATTTTTATTCACAATATCTCTTGACTATTAGTTTCAAGTTATTTGATCTAGTTACTTAATTGATTTGACATTGAAGAGTGCAGAAACTCTACTAAGAAGTATGTCGAGGTCCATAATTAAAAGTAACATTTCCACCTTTTGTCATTTTAATTGAATTGATGAAAGCATGTATTGTTAGTTCAAATCCACCTAATTTACAACAAAAAAAAATTACATTTTTTGAGCTTTGAATCAATACTAGAAATATTAGATTTGGACCATAATGAAATATTTCCTGTGTGGGCTGATTATCAAGCTGGCAGACATGCCTTTTACTTGTGTTCTGTTTTATGAACCCACTCATCAGAAATTGAGTCAGAACAATTATTTTGCAATTAGTCTGGTGGACAAAAAGAATAAACTTGTAGAGTATACCTTAACGCACCGGATCACAAATGCCTAGCACAAATAGATCTGTGTATTCTGGTCAAAGGACATACTTTTTTGCTAGCAGATAGTTTTATGGGGAGTTAAATGAAATTTACAATAAAAGACTATTTTGGTCAAAGAAAAGTGTAATGAGATATCTATAAATATGAGAAGGTGAAAGTTTTAGATTAAGATTGGGTGTACTGTAATGGTTTGAAAATGTTGAGAGAATATTACTTTGTCATAATCAAAACATACTCACAATATGAAAAGAATTTTCTTTAATATTTCTAAGAAAGTTAAAACAAATTTCTGGAATAGTATTAATACAAGTCAAAAGAAACAATTTCAAAGATTGTGTCAAAACACATTATTTCTGAAGTGGTTGAATCAAAATGCATAACTTCAGAAGGTCATATGTTCAAAACTTTGACTGTTTTTCAGATAATTGGATTTGTTTGTGCATATCCATTATTGTTAAAGACTACCCATAGCATATAACAACAACAACAACAAAAAGAAAGAAAAATCCTCATTTACCCAGAAAACTGTTCTGGAATTTCCTTTCAGTTTGTACTCGTACTAATAAGTAATGTTGGTGAAATAATTTTTGGAATGAATTTTATATATTAATTTATTTGCATGTCACTGTTTTATTGTAGTACTTTCTGACAGATAACACTTTTTTCCCTAAGGAAAAGGGTAGGTTAAATTTTGTTTAGTTTGTTTTTACTTGCATTCACTACTTATTATTCTCCAGTAAAATCATCACTTCTCTAGATTACGTGGAATTTTTCTTGCTGTCAAAATGTAGACCTCTTCCAGAATACTTAAGTAAAACATACAGATTTTAATATTCCTCATTGCATACTGGCATTACTTTCTATTTCCATTTAATATAAAGAGAAATAGGGTTAACAATTTTTTATGACTTTATCGGTACTTTCAATACACTATATTTTAATTTCCTCTTATGAGTTGGATATTATTTTTAGTGAGTTTTGCAAAAATGTACTTTCTTGGTAAAAACAAATTAATGAAAAATCAGAAATATTCTGTAAATAAGCTTTGTTGACCGATACTACACTTAACCCCATCCTCTTCTTGAGGTTAATCAAAAGAAAAGTGCCACTCTAAGATTAAAAGAGAGTGGGAGAAAAAAGTAGAATTAATTCCAATTCAATCATTCTTCAGCTAAAGAAAATTGTGTTGAATAGTATCTCCATTTCCTAAATGTAAGTATTAAAATGATTATTTACACGTTATTATTCTATTACGCTAATCATGTATTTGCAAATTTATTATTCATTATTAAAAACATTATTTATTACAAGTTGCCAGATGACATTAAATGAAATCGATGCACAAGTTTAAGTGCCAATCACTGCTGTATAACTAGTGACTACCAAGCATCGAAAAGGAAAGTAATATTGATTTTAAGAATAATATTTTATGTAGTGGTTATCATTCTAAAAGATTAAATATACCTGTAACAAATATTGTACCTCAGCTTCTGGACTAATGACCCCACCCTGATCCTTTGAGTGAATACTGAGATGGCTCCGTATTTTGCTTCTGGTCATAAATGTAACTTCACTACTTGTGCACATTTTTCTAGAGTTCAGTGGGACATATAGGTCATTATCATTCTCATAGCAGTGAGTCAACTCCTTTGCGAAAGGCATGATGAGGGAAACAGCAATAATCTGTAGCTGATTTGTCTTTGCAAATAGTTTTTATTACATAAGAGCAAATATTTTCTTATCAATTCTTGGTAAAAATGCCCATTTCTTGTATTCGTAATTGCCTGGTCATAATTCAACTTTTATATGCGTTAAAGCAGGGATGTCAGAATTTACGAACATGTGCACAGAATACACTTCTCCCATATTACTTCACACACACTCACACTTTTAACTCAATATTATGTATTCCAACATAGAATTTTATTTACTGACAAAATCCTCCAATTGTTTCAATAGGTCCTTTTTAATATTGATTATTTGTTGTGCAATAGACCACAAACATAATTTGGCCATATTTTTTAATTAGCATTGATTGATTTAAAATTTCGTCCATTCTCATACAGCAGCATGCAAATGGAAATTTCAATTTCACATTAATGATTTTCTTACTGCGTTAGTGATTGGCTTGGCATAGAGATCTCAATTTGATAAAACTGTTTTCATATGTGTTTTTGAGGTAACTGATAGTGGTGTGCCAGCTTCAATTTTATAGGGTAGTTCACCATTAATTACTCATAAGTTTAAAGAACAATTAAATTATTTTTTGAGTATTTAATTAGCAATATAATCACTCTACAAGATATCATATTTGTTTCTATGGTAACCGCAAGTGGTGTGCTAGGTTAATATTAAGCTAGCTCATCATTAATTATGCAAATATTTGAAGAGGAAAAAAAAAGTGTAATTAATTGGCAATTAAATAATTCTAAATGGTAGCATATTTGTTTTTGTAGTATCCAATTGTTGTAGTGCCAGCTTAAGAGAAGTAAATTTTTTAACACATTCTTACATGTATATTATTAAAGATGAAGATTTTTTCTGAATTCAGTTTATTCCTCAATACTACATCCCAGTTTGAGCAAATATTTATTTTTCTTTAATCTATTCTAAGAATAGAAAACAAATTGATTTAATGACAGATGTGTCAGTTTTGTTAAAACTTATGAATTTTCAAAAATTAAAAACATTTTTTTCCTAACTTATCGTTCTTTATTTTGCTTGGAGTTTTTCAAGTGGTAGGTGGAGTATCAGTAGTTAGAAGTAGCAATATAATATTATGTAACTGGTTTGAATAGTATTAGTAAGTACCTGCTCTTGTAGCACCATTAGTTTAACTGATATAATATATAGGTTATCACAAATTATGTGATAATTTTTTAGGGTGAATTTTGAATATCTGTCAATTTTTCTGTATGTCATTATTGTAAAATAACTAAGAAATTTATTAACTTAGATGTTGCATAAACCTCTTAAAAAGAAACACAAAGTAAAAATAATATTGTGCCCAAATTTTAACTGACAAAATAAAAATGACAGGCATGAAGAAGAGAGGTGAGAAGATGTGAGTCTCTCTGATCATCAAGGGTGTCTTATCTACCCGTGATCTACTAATGGCTCTCATTTGAATGTACCAAATGCAGGTACAAGTATACCTTTCCCTTCTAGTTTTACTTTTCTAATTGTACTGTTAAATTATTCTAATTATAAAATTGTATCTCCTTAGTTATCCAGTAATAGAGAACAATTTTTTTTTTTTAATTTTCTGAAATATATTATTTTAATATAAGCACACTGATTTCTGTTAAAAGAATCTAAAGTGCATAAGGCTACAAAACAGACTTCAATTTTGTTTTATTTATTAAAAGAGTTGGAAGTCTACAACATCAGCCCTTGTAACAAAATGAAATTTATTGGAGCGTCTGACTTTCTTTGGACCGATTTTAGAGCTGATATTGGTAATATTGGTTAGTCATTGTTGAAGATGTGGTTTTGGAATGAATGTTATTCTGTAATAGAGTATAATTTACTTACAAGATTCAATAAGTGAAATAGATGCTGCATATGATGGTTTTAAGGAAATAGGCAATGGACATGGAAATCCAGGTAATTGTAAACAAACTACAATTAAAAAGGCTAAGCTTATGGAAATGAGCATGAAAATCGTGTTAAGAAAATGGTGAGATGTAAATACTTAGGCGATGACTGCAAATGTCATAAGAACTGTTTTTGAAGAATATGACAAGAGAATAGACTGCCAGACTTCACACAGATTTACAATATCTACTGAAGTAAAACTGGAAAAGATATTTATTTGAAAAGTCTGGCTGATGTTATAAGTGTGAAGAGAAGGATACTATGAAATATAGATGAGAGAAAGAAAGAAAGCATACGTTCAAATACCACTTAATGGTTAGAGCACAACAATTTGAAATATGTCCGACAGCATTTCTTGTGATATTGACACTACATAGATGTAAGATTAAGAGCATCAAAGAAACTATCAGAAAAAAGGCTCAGTAGATATGTATGGCAAGCACATAAGCTTCTCATTTCCATCAGACAGTAAAATTAATGTTCATGATCATATAGAGACCTTTCCTGTAAAAAATAGTTAATATATTAGGAAGAAAATACAATATCTCCATGAAGATTTGAATATGAATATAA